GATATATTTTCTTTTATCTATTGTTCCGTGTATGACAGATAACAGGAAAAGGAGCAAACTTTGCAAGACTTGATCCTTCTACAGTTCTACTTTCTAGCCGAACGAAGGAAACTGTTATTGCAGAAAATGCAGACGCCGCCTACGGAATCTTTGCAAATTCAATATAAAGCAGCTATTCGTATGTTATTTCCATTCTGTTTGCACAGAACTTTATTCAACAAACCATTCACAATGCTAGTACTATCACGCAGAGCCGTCGAATCTCGAAAACGTATCTGGGTTGGCTTGGTAAAATGACGATCCTGAGAAGTTATTTCACCTCTGTAAATATTGTACTTTATTGCATTGCAAATAATTTATAAGGCATTACATGTATGGACACTTACAACTTTTATTCAGGCAAATGCATTACAAAATTATCTGTACAGTCTGCTTTCTACCTCCATCGTCAAGGCGATCGCCCTGATGATAGAGGCAGCAAGGACCTATTAAACGTTTGTAAACTTCTATCAGACTATACGGCGCAACAACCCAGAAGACAATCCTCTTCGTATTAGTCGCCGTGAAAACCTCAGATGTTACTAACACAGAACGCGTCTTGTACGGTTTACTTTAACTGGAAGAATTTGTTCCTCCACAAGACAGTCCATCAGTGGACCTGCTGATGCTTCTTTTGTCAAAGGCTGTTTTGAATTATTACAAAGTCTGTAAGCCCCATCCTTCAACGATTCTTCGGTTGGGACGAACAGTCGAGACCGCTTACATCATGGGTCTTGCTTGATACAAGATGTTGATCTTCTCTCTTGGGAAATTAATAATCTTTTCGCTTACGTATACACAAGCAAACCGTGCCTTGCTCTACCCTAATTACCTTACCTCTCTCTCTCTCCCAGTTACCTCGACCATAGTCCAAGTCGCGCAGTTCAGCGCAAACTTATTCTTAAGTAACTTTCCTTGCCATTCTTGTTGCGTCTTTTAACGGGAACGATCTAATGTACGTTATGGTTCAACCAGCTTACAGTCTACCAGTTTTTTCGTAATTGTTTGTACTTTATTCTTTCTAATTTCTTTCTTTCTTTTTACTATTGCTTATTTAAATTTCATTTTCATTTTCCTTTCAGCATTATGCAGTTTTAGTTCAATAACATTCCCGATTTTTTCATTTAATCCTCTGAAGCCGAAGTTCGTGGAAATAATATTAATAACTCAGTCTGCACCGCAAAGAAACCACAACAGAACGCGGCTACGAAGATCCATTTGTTTTTGTTGTTTAAAGAAAAAAAACCCTGCATATAGTAAGAATCTTACTAGACCCACACATACAAAATGCACAAATACTGATTGTTAAAGTAGATGGTACAGTTAGTTGCCACTAGACATCATTAGACCACGGCGAAGTGTATCATTTAGACCTGGAGGTATTTAAAAATATTTCAGAGCCTGTTATTCGGATAGAATTTTTATGACCTTTTTAGTCTTCAGGTTCTCATGCATTGTGTCTAATATTTGGCCCACGAATTATTCCTTTACATTTAAAACGATTGTTTCTATAACTCTTATAGAGAAACTGTAAAATAACGTCGGATTTTGATTTAAATTCACTATATCTTCTTTTTTCTCTTGTTGTATTATGTACTTTTTCTTTCCAATACTTCGCCTTCTGTCTTGGATTACTTTTTCCGTTTTGTTTTAAACGTTATTGCTTTTTGTTTCTTCTTTCGATGTCTTCCTTGTTTATCTCCTTCCCTTACTTGTCTTTTTCCTTATTTGTCGTCATTTCTCTCTATTTCTCTTCCTCAGTAACAGTTGCTCTTGAATTTGCTTGCAACTTTCCCTTAAATGTTCTTGCAACTGGATGGGTGTGACGCCCACATTCATAATACAAAGCTCTAAAGCTAGTGTAAAGTCAGATTACTTGAATTCGAATTGTAAAAAAGCAAATTCTTTCATTCTGGAAATGCGTTTATAGAGAGTAATGACTATCGTGTCTTCTGTCGCAATTTTAGTGAATGCTATGATGAAGTTCACGCTGATTTCTTTTGACACGGAAGACTTTCTCTAAAAAACATGATCAAGCTGATTGAATAAGATAAAGTATCTGATACAAATCACACTTAATTTTAAATTTAATCCTACGTTACGCTTTTTATTTATAGAAAATGACAGATAACGACATTGAATTTCCATTTAAATTAGATGATTTTTATTAGAGACAAAATCTCGATATTATTCCCGTGAAACAAAATTTTTAGTGTGTGCGGTTTTAATGCTTTCAGTTTGATAGACTGGAAGTTTAATGAGGCCTGCTGTTGCCAACTAAAGTTAATTATACTTAATATAGCTATAAGTAATATTGCCAATTTTTCGTTAAGTATATCGAAAGAAATTTACACATCTTATTCTAATCCTACATATTTAATATGCACACACCCACTTTACATACGTATTATGTATTTTTATAAGTGCTACGTAATTTTGAAATTTTCTTTTTCTTTTTGGGGATGTTTTAGTCAATCAGTACATGCAAAATAAACTTTACCTCGCAATAATTCGTTTAGACTGCACGCATAACACATTTGTCGGAGAAGTTGCCGTTCGAGCACGGCGAACCGCTTGTAGTAACGTTTTAACGCATTTTGAAATAACTGCAGATTGATAATTATGTAAAGTTACTAACAACGGTGACATGTCTCATTTTAGCGCTGCGCTATTGTTTTGTTGTAATAAATGTTCTTAAACTGAGCTTATACAGTCTCAGTTACTTTCTACATAGCATACAAGCATGTGAAATACATATCAGTCTTATGCTATTATCTACAGTAAGGGAGTTCACATCTCCTGAAGTTTAAAAGTGAAGTCAGCTGTGAATAAGCTATGCTTGCTGTAGGTTTTATCATCTGGGAGAAGAAGCCTGCAAAAGAGATTTCTACAAAAACTTTGGCCGATGTCCTGTACGAATGGAGTTAAAGGTTGTGATGTTAGAATTTCTTCTCGAATCTTAACAACCAGTTATGTAACCAAGAAACCTACGTGCGTTTGTGGGCGCGGAGGTGATTGGAGGAGTAGTCCATAGTCAACCGCGAAACTATGTGGGGAATCCTCCGTAATGGCGCTATCCCCAGCCAGAAATTGAGTGATGACGTCACTAGCTCCGTTAGCAGAGGTCAATAGGCATTTGTGGCGAATATATCTGAAATGTTGCTTCCCCAGGTTGTCGTTGTTAATTCGACTAGAACAGAATTCTTTTTATAACAGGAGCTACTTTGGAAACAGCCCAAATTCAGCTATACAGATATGATATTTCAACTAGATACGCAGTATGAATAAAGCTATGACATTGAATTTACCAAATTGTGCTTTTTTTGGCCATTGTAGTGCAATAAATATGCCACGCATCTGCCTACGAGGAGATAAAGTGATCTATCTATTTAGCGATAACAAAAGTTTCAGGCCAGTACACACGGAAATTCGGACATGTTTTTGGTTTTGAATTGTTTTATTAAACAACGAAGTGTGTTATCGTATATCAGTTTCAAATATTATCATCTTCTATAAATCCTAGTTCAGTACGGTATTGAAGCGAGGTTTAAGAATTTGCTTCCGTTTAAATGTCGGTAACTAAGTGAAACTGCTTCTTCTTTAAAATATTGCTGCAAAGATTTTGGTGATAAAGAATATGAAATCTAAAACTTCTTGACGATGTTGAAGAGTCAATTGAATAAAAATTTACTTGGATATTATTCATCGTCTAGTAAATATAAAACGTAAAACGACGTTTCGGAGATGGGACTCTATCTCCGTCTTCAGGTTCCTACACAGTTGGGCCCACTAGATAGAGCTAATCCCTATCTCCGGACGTTTTATATTTACTAGACGATGGATAATATCCAAGGAAATTTTTATTCGACGGAGATAGGGATTAGCTCTATCTAGTGGGCCCAACTGTGTAGGAACCTGAAGACGGAGATAGAGTCCCATCTCCGAAACGTCGTTTTACGTTTTATATTTACTAGACGATAGATAATATCCAAGTAAATTTTTATTCAATTGGTGATAAAGAAGTTTATGAAACAGCAGAGTCCAGATAATCCGCTCTTCGGTTAGCCGACATTCCCTTTGATCTGAAGTGCCTTGAGTCCACAAATGGCATAAGAACCAAAAGACCACGATTGACAAACCCAAAAATTGTATTGTAGGTACCTTACTGGCTAAACATGATAGCTTAAAACGATGCTGGAGGCGTGTATAGACGGTATTATCCAGTAATGTGGTAGCAGATATTCTGTTCTGTGGCTGATGCAGACCTAAGTATTGGTCTCAGACAGGCTTCGCGTTGCTAATACATTCCTCTCCAGGGAGGGATCTTAAACCTATATTAATTATAAGTCCACGCACAGTTCAGTTGAGAGGTTTGCGTAAAAGAACATGACAGTATAACTCGTAATTAATATGCCATTAGCTAATTGTGTGGACGCTCGCTCGCTCGCATGCACGACTTGAAAAGTACTACCGCCCGCTTGTGAGGCGAGATAATTTTGAGACATGAGGAGCAAACATTTACAATAGCCAAATGTGTGCTAACGGACATGATTCTAGGATTTAAAATTTGTGTTTAAAACGATGTACATACTGCATTTCCTCTATTTTAAGATGTCATCGACTGTAATGGGTTTTCAGGAATAAAGAAGCTATATCGGTTCTTAGACTCCATCAGATTTTAGACGCCCTCCGATTTCAGAAAATTTAAAATATGAAAAATGTGTTCTTAAAATCGGGGAGATACGGTATGTCGCCAGCAAATTTTTAGTTATATTCAAGAATGTAAAGTTCTCTGGCCAGATAAATTTTATGTCGGCTGCTATAGTGTTAATTCGCACAGAAATGGATCAGTGCCTTCAAAAATAAACTAAATTTTATACTTTTAATTAGACTTGCCATGCAGATTGAAGCATTTGAAGGAAAGTAAGCGTGCTAACTAGTGCTTCTTACTCTGCCTGCAGGGAGAGCCAAGAGTTCGGAACAAGTTCCTAGCAGAAGACTGATAGGGACTTCGTGTGACGTCATTATGTCTGCATCTACGGCGGTGGAGGCTGCGGCAGCAGCAGCGAGGGCCAAGAAGCTGAACCTGGATAAGGCGACCAACTTCATGAGGCAGTACCGTGACCCACAGAGCCGAGAACTGAAGAAATTGTCCGCCAACCAGTTCATGGAGGTCTGGAGCCACTACGACAAGGATGGTGAGTCCAATTCTTCTAGCCTGACGTCCAGATGTATGTGGAATAAGCCAAATCAGAAATTCAAAACCTCGTAACGTCGTGTAACTTGCTCGCAAAGAGACGAAAATGGCAGTAATAGGGAAATACAGTTATTCTCGGAATGCCTTTTGGTTGTAGTTCTGTTTTATGCTGAGTTCCAGCGTTTTTGGCCGCTGAACTTTGTGAATTGGAACCTCGGAGCGAGTCACTTACTAGAAGTTTGCTGGGCGGGATGGCAGCAGGCCGCGTATAGTACACTCCAAATAAAATATCACCACGGTATGTAACACAGGAAAGTTTATTTCACTACAGTACACATCACTAGAAAATTAACACCGCATTGAGTATTAGATACTTTTATCTTCTTCACAAATCTTCGGTCCTCTTTCAATTCTTCCACTCCTCTTAGACAATCGCTTTCTGACATCACTCGATTCATCACTACCGCTGCTACAGTTTATCCATTATCTTCAATTATAATACGTTAAATAGCGTCTTCGACTGTGCTTTCTTGTTCATAATAGATTATTATGGTTTTTCCACATGCTGACATGTGTACATTATCCCATTCCTCTTGCCCAATTTCTTCGAATTTCTGGCGTCTCAGGTGCTCGACGTCCTTATTTTCAAATGCTGTGTTCTTGCTTGCAACCCAATGTTTTACATCTGCCCAAATATGTTCAATGGGGTTTAAATCGGGATAGTACGGCGGAAGTCTCAGCACAGTACGTTCTTTGTCTGCTAAAATCCGATCAATCACATAATATTTGTGCTTTAACTTATTTAATTTGATTAAATCGTACAGTCGAGCTTTCAACACGTTGTCACAAAATGGGATGTTTCTTTCCAATATCCAGGCTTTCATTTCGTCCTTCTTTGATTAAGACGTCGGTGGTTTGTCTGTGATACGAGGCGTTATCAATGACCAGAAAGGAGATTGCAACGAACAGGTGGCATGTTGTTAACACAGCACAGTCACAAGACAACAATTATCAGGCTTCCACAATGCTGCACTGACACAGACTGTACTGACCGACGGAAATTTCTTCCTTCCTTCCTTCATTGAGTGGTCCGCATACTGGGCACTCCCTACAAGGTCAGCGGCCATAATCGGTGGATCCAGTTCTAATACTTTCTGTGTTTTGGACTTTGTCCATCGTCTGTGTTTAAAATATTTTGAAAGATCTTTCTCTGTCGTCAGGTAAAAATGTCAGATACCAATTCTACAGAACAGAGATCGGGAATAGCTCTATCTACAGGATCCAACAGAATAGGCGTCTCTCTTTTTACCAGAAGACACAGGATTACTTATTTTTCAAAACGTAGTTTTTTTAAGGTTTTTAAGATTCTTAAAACAGACGATGGATAAGATCGGAAACAAAGAGTGTAGGTAGGTGTCAGCTTTCAAGTTTGATGTTCATGGGTTGTCAGTGTCTGATTTTCTACGCCATTGCAGAAGCAAACAAAAATGGCGACTTGTCGATGCAGAGAGCTCATTTCATATTTCGATTTTTCTTTCTGTGCAGCAGATGTTAATGATTGTTGTAACTGAAGCATGGAATTGTCTATAATACGTGAATAATTTTGGTTGTAGAGCACACACTGAAAAGTCACTAAATCTATATCACGAAACGTACACATGCCCGCATAACTAACCCCGTCATTTTGCTCGTTTGTTGAATTTAGCAGAAACTTCTCCGTTGTATCCTACATTCCAATTCGCTGGAGTACAAAGTTGGATACCGTTAGAAATCTCGTGGTTACTGCTGCATTGTCTGCAGACATGTTCAATGTTGTGACACGCTGTAGGCCTTTGTCTTTATAGACACACTAACAAAATCCAACACCATTTCCGAGCTGCTGTTTCAACGTACTTAACGAACACGCTTACGTGAATTTTAAATATGTCCCTGTTCTAATAATACGAAAGGAATTTGTCGCAGTTTTAATCGTCTTAAGACTCTGTTGTGTTTAATCCATGTAATGGATTGTAGGAACGGGTGTGACAATTGATATTAACTGGGGAATTCTAATTATTGATATCTGGTGTGTCGTTAGTTTATGGTAGTAGTGTGGGATACTTTGCCAGCAGGATTCATCACATGTAAATAAGCAGTATGAAGGTAAACGCGGGAAGTCTGGAAGTGTGTGTGATTATTTTATATACGAATACAGTCAACATACTGACCGCTAAAATTTCACAAGGATCACGGACATAAATGTATTTATTCCATTTTAATAATTGCCCCATGTAGTCTGAAGATTACTTTCTTGTGAGCAGTTTTGAGGCGCTCTGTAGCTAAAATTACGAACTTAAAAGGTCTCATGTTTTACAAAAAATCAATGACAAAATAAACTTTTGTTTTCATTATTTTTTTTAAACTTTCGGTTTAGAAGGTGGGTTTGTAAACTTATTTTTAATAATCTTGTGTCTAATGTTAACTCGGCAATTTTCTTATATCTTATGGAACAGTCGGATAATAATAAACTGTTTTTGTTTCTGTATTTCTCTCTCTGATTTACTATTATCAGCATAATTATCTCTAGCGCCATATATTTTAGAATTCTGTTGTAGATCTTAGAAGTTCTGGAATAAGGTCATAATTCAACCTGCCCTTTATCGTCTCCCTCTCTGATATAGCGTTTAGCATGACGTAGCATAATTCCAAAATTGATATTAGGTTTTATGTACCGAACTTTTAAATATTGAAATTATTTTCTGTATACTATTTGCTAAATTGTACATTTTTGTTCTTTACAATTTTTTTTCTAACAAAAAAACATGGAATTTGCGACATCAGTTTTTGGCCACCATGTACAATTTTTCCGTATTTCTCTGTTTCAACAAAATTTAAATTATGTTTTGATGTTCTGACAGTGATACAGCATGCAGTAGGATAGGGTTATGGGATCTCATGTTTTTGTTGTTACTAAGATTACATGGGAATTTTTACTTGTATCTGCGTGTCATATGTTTAATGCTGAACAGCATCATTTGCAGACATGGGAAAACGTGGTAGGCGGTCGTGCTCCCGTTCATTTGTCAGCATCTTCCATTTAACAGAGCCGGCCGCTAGGGAAATAAATTCTGGGCTTCCAGTTTATGAAGAAAAAAAAGACAGGGCCTCGTTGTTCGTCATTAGTGACTCACTGTAATAAATAAACTTAAGTACAGAAGACGCCACATTTAGTGCACGCGAGAATACAATGTAATGAAAACGAAAATTGTCGAATTCGAGTCGAAGTATTAGCGTTATTAGGTCTAGCGTTAAAATAATTATTTCTGGATACAAGCGCCATTAGCAGAAATGTTAAAAGAATTTAGTTTAACGATAGTTGATGTGGTCTAATTTTTATGTACGTAATATTTAAAAAAGTTAGCAAAAATACACTATTTCAATATTTAGTGAATGGTGAATTCACATTTAAATAGGAAACAAGCTGCTGTTTCTATTACTGACTGTTAGAAGAAAAAAGGCAGAAGGAAGTGTTTGAAAGCGAGGATCCACTCCTAATGGTTACTAAACTCCGTATTCAAATTCAACGATAATTAGATGATTCAGAATACATATATCCTATCACGAATTGAACACGTGTATAGTTGGTATAGGTTTCATATATTAAGAAGAATTTATATTAATAACAGTGTAACAGTAGCCTTGATATGTGCATGCGAATGCATTTTTGTATATTACTTCCAAGATTTCTGTAGCAATTTCGCGAAAGGTATGCATGTAGAAAAAAGTATTCTGGGACCAATAGCTTCTTAATGCTGTATAGATTCAAAATCTGTGTGAACGTAACATGAAAAATTGTGTAAAGAAGGCGAGTATTGTAAATGATATAAAATACACAAATATAAACTATTTTAACTAAACGCAGTATCACCACGTCGTCCTTAGTAGGGAGAAAATGTCCGTGACCTATTAGGTGTTCTTTGGTAGAATGTAAAGAAGAGATAAAATTATTATAGATCTAATTGGGGCAAGATGGTTTTTACTGGGGAGCAGCAGAAGAGATGGTTTATCATTACTGAGCAACACCATATAAATTTCTTGCTGATTACCAAGGACATAAAATGTGGCAAACTTCACGATCGTTAAATTATATTTATACTTACAGCTGATGAAAATCTCGACCAGACGGTGTCTCATACTTTACAATAAACTGAAGGGACTTGATCCGTCGGATGCGATCAAAAACGAAATGGATTGTGGGAAGGTAACATGCGGAGCAGCTCTTTAAGGAGAGAGACTGGTGTCGGACCAGAAGAACGGACTTCGATTTTTGGCACGTACATATAAAAATGAAACTAAACTAACTAAATAAGAAATACTCTATTAGTTTATAGCAACGTGATGAATTGGCGGTTTGAATCCTGTGCGAGAAGGAGGTATCTCTAACAGCATTAATGTTTGACTGGGGATACAAAGACACTTCAGCGCGGAGGGACTGTAGCGGGCGTTCCGAGTGTCGTGAGTCATCAGGCAAAGTTTTACATTGCTGCAGAGGTAAAAGGATGAATGCAATGCTGCACCTTGTGGGGCGGATGACACAGTGCCCACGGTCGGATAGCTTCCTTGGGCGTCTTACAGGCCCATAAAATGGCTTAATGCTTACAAATGCTATCGAACTGATGATAGAGGCAGCAAGTGCCTCTGAAACGACGGTAGACTTCTGCCAGACTACAAGGCGTAAGAACCCAAATGACAGCCAACTTAACATTTGCCAGATGTGATTTCTTGGTGCAGGGGCTGCTGATCCTTCCTTCCTGGGTTCAAATCTCGGCCCGAAATCCGGCTATCCTGAACGGGTTTCTTCGTGGGTTTCCTCAGTCCCAATACCTGGAACTATCCTACCCGGTTAGGTTTGTGGCAAAGGCGATAAATGTTTTGCTTCCATAACATGCAACTTTCCTTAATCAATAACCAATTTTCGTTTATCTGCAACGATTTAATGTTTGAATTTTTATGTTATTCCAA